TGGCTATGGGGTCCAGCATCTACCAACAGATCAAATTGATCAGATAATGTTGGAAGCGTGGAGAGCCCAGCCTGCAAACATGGTTCAGTCAAAGAGTACCAAACAAGTAGCTGAAGTTGTTCAAACACTCAAGGGAGCAGGACTAAAACAAGGGAAAGTAGATCCACCAAGGAGCTGTTTCTCAGCACAATGCATAAGAGACATGCAATTAGGAAAGCTGGAATTAAGTTCGACAGTGGGGGAACAGCAGGTGGGTCTTCTCATTGGAGACTTCTTATGGACCTTCATGGATTGATTGGCCCGATGATGTACAGACCCAACATTTACCAGGTTGGACTTCAGGAGACAGAGGAGGAAAACCATGCTTGGGGCAGGCCCTAAAGAGTTCTGGTCAGAGAACCACAGCAGCTTTGACAGCAAACTGGTATTCTAGGCCTATGATGATCCCCTTCTCTCTCTCTCTCTCTCTCACACACACACACACACACACACACAGCAAGCATCCCTCAAGAGTAAATCCCATGCCAATGTCTTCACCCTCCTCAGGCCCAAGGTTAATCCTTTGAGATCTTTGGAGGGGACTATGCCTGTGGACAGTGCCTGGGGAGTGATGAGCCAACTGACGGCTTTCTTGGGTGTGTTGTCCTCACTAGGGAATTCTTCAGTGATTAGTTTTTCTGGCTACTTCAAATGCATCTCTTCACCCAGGCTGTCAAGTCTTTTTGATGTTCTTGTGGAGAATGTTGAGCATTCTGTTTTATCTGAACTGTCTACTGCATGTATTATCAAGTCACTGCTTTAATTTTTTAGGGTTTTAATGCTATAGATCTGTTTACACTGTATTTTATCATTATTCTTAGTATTATGTTGTTGTTGTTATTTCATTTTTGTACTTTTATTTGTAAACCACTTGTATCATATTGATAATTGATTAATTAACAGTTAAGAGCAATTACTTACCACTGTATCTAGAAAGCTAGAACTTCAGGGTGAGAGTTTGGCTAAGACTTTTCTTTCCCATGTGCTACTTTTCTATGTGCATGGATGTTTTCCCATGGGTGAGCAGTCAAACAATCGATACTTCACATGTAATTTGACATGCCCCACCCAGGTTCAACTGCATGATTTTTTTGTACATGTATTTTTGTCTATTAGAATCTGTTGCCCATGGCCTCATGCCACCATAAAAGCTTTCCTCCTGTTCATAGTCTGTAGTGCCATGCAAAAAGCCAGTTGACTTGCATCCTGAGATAATGAATTTACAAGTAGTTTATCACACGCCAGCAGCCTCATGCGGCTTCCATGTGGGTAGCTTATATTGTATACATTATCATTTTTGTTCAAGTTGATGTGAACACTCTTACAGTTATTCAGTACAAGCACCCCTCAAAATGGCCTTTATAAAGCTATCTGTAATACAATAGACTGATGGATAAAGAACAATGAAAACAAAAAAGGGATAGACAAAATGCAGACATTTTTCAGGGAAGTTTTCATTATATATGTAAAGATAGAGTCAACACACCTTAAAAATGAAGCAGGGAATGCAGCAGTGAGGCTGCCGCTGATGGGACTTGTGCATGTAAATCTCAGGTGATACTGTCAATCGGCACACACTTTTTCAGACAGAGCAACTGCTACGCTACATCCCCTGCTTCCTGCAAGACTCATCCTGAAAGTTCCTTCATTGTCTGACAACTGACCAAAAATAAATTTCTTGCTGGTACAGGAGTAGAACTGCTTTAAGTGGGACATTTTTCATCCCCAATGTCAAGCTTTGAAAATGGTTGACAGCTGAGTGCCTTTATTTTGATAGCACAATCCACTGCAAGGATCACAACTCACAGAAAAAGAGTCCCTAGCCACTGTATATTAAAGGTCTCCTTTGACATTGATCACATGATGATGATGGACATCAGTATTATCATTCCTAGTAGCTGTCATGAGAACACTGATTGATGTGAAATAAGAGTAATGTCCAAAATAAAAAGCAGGAAGAGATGGGGAATTTGTCTCATGTAGTTACAGCATAATAGATGGAAAGCTTAGGATGTGTGTAATGTATCGTCCTCATGCTGGCTATAATATGTAAACTTGCCCCAGAAAAGGCATTACTAAGACAAATTGAAAGCATAATCAGTAGCATAGGCAAGGAAGAGACAGGAGTCAAGCTGTTCCTTGTATGACAAATGTCTTTAGCAGCAGACTTCTCTGTTTTGACTAGCACAGACTTGAAATATAGCAATTGACTTTGGTCTTATCTGCCCCCCCACTTCTAGCCTAGTACTTGAGGAAGCGAGACTTGGTTTCCCATTCTCGAATTAGAAAACTGAATAAAAATGAGAGTGGGCCAGCATGCAGACAAAGATCACATGGATCGGCTCTGAAGAAAACTATACAACTTCTCCATGTTGCGAAGACCAGTGACTTAGTACAATTACTACTACTACTACTACTAATAATAATATCACAAACCTAAGTGCAACCAAATAAGAGCAAGCTGAGTTTTTATTTAATCTCATTCCGGGAAACATTTTTTACTTCCTAGAATGTACCACTGCTTTATAAACTAGTCTTTTCCAAACTAGGGCACTCTGTGTTGGACTACATTTCCCAGGAGAAAATTATGCTGTCTGGGGTGCTATGGACGTTGTAGCCCAACACTTCTGGAGGTTGTCAGGTGGAGGAAATCGGTCCTACAGCTAACCACTAATGGTTTTCGTTAATAAAAAAACAGGCACAGTTTGGCAAGTGCCACCCCTTCTGTTCTCAGCACACAGTGATTGAAAAGTTCTGGAGCTAATTGAGTTAACCATAGCTTCCCATTAGGTCCAAACAAGGAAACTGTGGTTATAAAGCTTCAAATAAAACAAAGTTTGAAACCAGCTTCAAATAATGATTTCAGAGCTTGGTTTGTTCCAACTGTTTTTTGAGTTTGGACATAATGGGTATTATGCTTATTTAATGTGAGAAGAATGAGGTGAATGGTCTTTATCTTCTTAATTCTTAATGTCATTAAATTTTTAATTATCGTGTCTTCACACCCTCCAATTTGCAATTATTTGCTCTTGCACTCATGGGCTGTTTTTGAAAAATCCCTTACTATGCCAAGAAATCAAAGGGCTTTCAGGAAACTTGCAAATGCATCTGAAATTTAGGAGCTTTTTTTAGAGATCAATGCAATTTTCTCTATGTATTCCAGAATAGATGAAAATAACACATTTATTTTTGGACCTCAGGTTAGATTACTTTCATCATTTGCCTAGAGAAATCATTCTGAAATGTAGGGTTAGTCTAGAAAGATAATGCATGAACAAGGACTGCAAGAATATGTGTGAAAACATGGTTGGCAAAATTAACATAAACTGTTGAAAGTCACCCCTGAAAAAAAAACTTAGTAAAAAATTCAACCTTAGCAAAAGTGAAATCTTAAACTGTTTGTGTTTGAGCTCAGCTCAACTCTTAAACATTTCCCCCCAAGAGTAATAAACAACAATAGAAATAGGAATGCACAAGAATTTAATTTGTTTGCCTGCTATGGAAACACACTTGATTTCAACCTCTTGTAGAGGACACCATAAAATGCTTGCAAAGTCCTGAATTAGTTTTCCTGCTCAAAAAGAAAATGCACCTTCTTTTTTTTTAAATGAAGTTTTAAAAGTGCACATGTGTGATTCTTGGAAACTTCTGCTATTGTTGACATCCTTGAGATGTGCAAAGCCACTCTGAGAAACAACAGACAACCACAACTCCTATAAAGTCTAATTGCTAACATTCTAAGAAAGCAGAATTGAAAAGATACTCTTAGAAAGGTGCTCAGAAAGGGAAAGGGCTCCATTAAAAAAATGAGGGGGTGTATGTATGTACACAGAAACATGTGTGTATGTGCAAGATATGTCTGGTGACACTACCACATTGAACTGTTTCATGTTTCTATTGTGAGAAGGACAAAATAATTTAGTATCAGACTTGGGGAATGACCGAGTGAATGAGAACTCACCTTTTACTGCCATTTATTTGAAACATTCCTTAGCAGGAAGACTTGACAAGCTAAACCTCACCTATAGTTTCTCTATATTCCTTGATTAAAACCACTGAACAAAGGAAAAAGCAATGTCAAGCTTACGTCTTCCTTTTTGATGACTGCTCAGATAATAATGACACCATCACCTTGGACATGTGGAATACTTATGGTTAGCAGCTTTGAGCTCTTTGACAGCATCAGGATATCATGTTCTATGTTTTTCAAGAAGCTGGTAGAGCCATTTCACATATTACACATAAGCAAACCAGAGCAAATCATCAGTGAATAAGAAATGAGCCAAGTACCCATATGATGCGTGTTCTTGTCATACTCACCTGACATGGCCTGCACATATACATATGACTCCAAAAAATGTCATTATCTGAAGCAGACCTTAAAGCCCATGGAGATAAGGTAAGTGCATTGCACAGTAAACCACAAAAGCAGAAACATTAATACTACCAAGCAGCTCAAACACCGCAATTTCTTTTGGAAAGCTAGAGGCTTGTAACAGCAGAAACTGAAATTCAGCTGCAGTGTATACAAGCAGTTGATCCGTAAGTGAGGCTCATAAAATTCTGAGTTTATGCAGACTTAAACTGATATATAGATGTTGCCACTTTGGCAAACAATTCTGTCAAGTGTTTATTCTATCTTTGGGGATTTGAAAAAGATTCACCAATCTAATTTTGTAACACAGAGATCTATGAGCCAAGGCATAGCTCTGTAATTATGTACATTTGCAAAGCAATTATATTTGGTAGTACAGTACATTTTAGATGTGAACAAGCCACTGCTATAAAAAGTCTGCAGATTTATGCATATAAAAAGGAATGGACATTAGAAAACTAAGTGAAAGAAAAGGATCTCTCTTGAGTATCTCTGCCTTTACTACAATGCATTCTGGCCTCTGTTAAATGGCAGCAAACAGCAGATTAGGTTAGTAGATAGGGAGAAATAATTATTTCATTCTTACCCTTATTCTCACAGTGACAGTGGCAAGACCTGGTGGCATTGTTCCTCCAATATCAAAGGCTTCCACTAGGAATGTGAATGTTGCATCTGTGCCAGGAAATGATTCAAAATCCAAGGACTTTAGAAGTGACAGTGCCCCTGAAAATTTGTTCAATGAAACAAACTGGAGTGCTTCCTGAGTTCGTATTCCATATGTAATATTAGATCCAACGTCAATATCTTTAGCCTGAGGAAAATGAGGAACAAGTTTTTTACTTACAGCTAAGGATACTTTGCATACATTTCATAAGATAGACCTCAGAGGTCAAATATTACTATTTTTGGAGCGGTTTCTCCTGAGGAATCATTTCATCACATATATGCATCATCATCATCATCATCATCATCATCATCATCATCCATTTCATTTCTATACCAACTGCAGCTGAAGCTCACAATATTAAGTCACCCATCCAGATTTCAACCATGCCCAGCTCTGCTTAGCTTCCAAGATTAGTCAGGATCAGGCACTTCAGGCTATATGGAAGCTAAACGTGGTGTGTCCAGAAAGTAATGAGAATGTTATTTTAAAAAAATCTTTTATTGAAAATTTTATGATTGAACATTGTCTCCTTCAAAGGATACACCTTGCGAGTGTACACAACCCACCCCCCAGCAATTTTTTCATTCTTCATAGCATCCCTGGAAGCGTTCGAGTGGGATGGCGTTGAGAGCCTGTGCAGTGGCTCTTTGGACATTAGCCACACTACCAAAATGGTGTCCTTTCAAACCATTCTTCAACTTTGGGAGTATGAAAAAGTCACAAGCAGTGACTCAAGTCGGGGCTGTAGGGTGGATGGGGAAGCACCATGATGCCTGTGTGTGTGTGTGTGTGTGTGTGTGTGTGTGTTTTAGCCAAAAACTCTCTGACAGCCAAAGCACTGTGACTCAGTGCATTGTTGTGATGAAGGATCCAAGCTGAGCCAATCTCCACTTGTGCCATTGGTACACTTGTGCAGATGATAGCACAGCTTCTCCATAAGCTTTCCTCACCATTCCCAAAGTTTCTGATGCACCTTTACCCAATTTCACACAAAATGTTATCACATACCACTGTTCCAGACTCGCTTGCATTTCTCTTAATACAAGGCAATCGAACAGGGTATCACAAAAAAGAATGTCTGGACTCTGAAAGGGCTGGAATGCAACTGATCAGTGTCCTAACATATACCTGGCACTCCACCCCAAGTGACCTTGGCCAGCTTCCCTCTTCACAGAGACCTTCTTGAGCGCGGGGACTTCATTCTCATTACTTTCTGGATACCCTTGTATAAATGATGGCTATGAGCCAATAAGATCCAATGCATAAGCCGTTTCCCATAATACTAGAGCCCAATGGGATTGTTCTGTGGTTTATATTAGTATACTAGTACTTCAGAACAGATAAAATAAAGTTTTCCTTCACACAGTAAATGGTTAAATTACGGAATTCATTCCCAAGAGATGTAGTCATGGCCAACAATTTGTAAAAGCGGATTGGACAAATGAAGGCAATGAAGAAGGCCACCTCCAGTATCAGACAGGATTCCCTATGTACACCAGCTGCTGGGGAACCTGAGCAGGAATGTGCTGTTGCATTCACATTCTCCTTTGGAAATCCTGTGGGCAGCTGGTTGGACACTGTGTGAACAGAATGCTGGACTAGATGGACCTTGGTCTGATCCAGCATGCCTCTTCATGTGTTTTTTATGTCCTTATATACCCTGAACTACAAACTGTAGTCACACAAGCCAAGAAGAACCAAATGAAACCCTTTTCTCCATACTAGATTCTCTTGGTTTCTGTCATGCATTACCTGGAAAGGAAGCTCACATGCCTAACCATCCAGGATTCCCTTTCTTCCCAGTTCTTGTTCCCAAACGTTATATATTTAAATTGAGTTATTCCTGCTGTATTGGGCTCTAATTCATCATTGTGCAGCTATTAATCTGCTCCATGTTTTAGGATGCTAGTCTATTCATGTTTAGAAGCAAAAAAGCCCTACAGTTCCCAGAATCCCCCATTTAGCCATGCTGGCTGGACATGCTGGGAGTTCTAGAACTTTTCCCATGTAAACATCATACCCTTATTGTTCCCCAGTTTGTGGCTTGGACTGAAAAATAGGGAAGATGGGACGATTGAAAACATTTCATGCTAGATTACAGGCAATATGTTCATGGTACAAGAAGCTGAATATGCAAGGAAGTTTTGCTTTCCTGAAGAACTTCCTCATTCAGTTCAGAGGAGGAAGCAGAGTGACCTATGCATTGCTTTGCAAACAAAGGTATACTTTTTATCCTTTGGAATGAATGGGGCCAGGCACATGCATCGTTATAATCCTGGTTTAGATCACGATAAATATGGTTTTATCTTGCTGGTATAAAATTTTCTTTTAGAGACGTAATAATAAAGAAGTTAAAGTAAGCCACTGAACTAAGAAGTCTGTATAATACAGTAAATGAACTGCTAAATTTGTATCAGTATTATAAGACAGGAGTTGGACTCCATTAGATAGGCTCTATAGATTCAAACAGACACTAAAATTAATAAGAAACAATAATGTAGCAATTAAATTTTAAAATGAACTATTGGGGTGGTGGGGAGAACTAATTGTGCCTTAAGATATTTTAATATTAATCTAATTTCAAATATTGATAATAATTCTTTAAATTAATTTCTTTTGAAGATTGCTAGTGTTATAGTCATTCTTTCTCTGCCTTTTGTAGGTTAAAACCCCAATATAAATTATAGAAATGTGTGATTATGAGCTTTAATTTTTATACCGTCAAGTAATTCCTTTTACAGGTAGCCAACTGGATAGAACTTAGACTTTCCCTTTACCCATTTCCTCGGTCTCCTTCTTCACATAAGAGTTATTACAACGTACTATGCTTGAGTGAAAATTTCCATGAAACGTATGTCTCTCTTACCTCTAAACGTAGAAAGACAGTGCCTGGTGGCAAGTTTTCAGGAATAGTTACTGAGTAGGAGGCGTTAGTGAAAATAGGGCTGTTGTCATCAATATCCAGGACTTTGATTCCCAGAGTTAATGTTGTACGACGGGCATCCATAGCTCCATCTGTTGCTTCAACAATTAGTTCATAATAGTCCTTTTTTTCCCTATTTAGCTTCACGGAAGTGTAAATGCTGCCATTGGATGTGATGCGAAAGAGATGGTTGAAGTTCACCAAACTGTATCGTACTTGGCCATTTATTCCTGCATCAGGGTCTGTAGCCTAACAGGCAAGAAAATATATTTAATTAGAGAAGATGAGTTTGTAGCAGAAGAAGGCCCTTCCTGGGCCTGTTAGTGGAGGAAATCCACTTGTCCCCACTCCCTGCAGGGAGCTACCTTTTCTGGGGTTCTCAAGATGAACAGACCCCTTGAATCATATGCTTCAGTCACCTGCTTAGACCCTGTTGTTGCTGTTAGTCGCAAAGTCATGCCCGACCCATCGCAACCCCATGGACAACGTTCCTTCAGGCCTTCCTGTCTTCCATCATCCCCCGGAGTCCACTTAAGCTCACACCAACTGCTTCAGTGACTCCATCTAGCCACATCATCCTCTGCCGTCCCCTCCTTCTTTTGCCATCTATTGTTCCCAGCATTAGGCTCTTCTCCAGAGAGTCCTTCCTTCTCATTAGGTGGCCAAAGCATTTGAGTTTCATCTTCAGGATCTGGCCTTCTAAAGAGCAGTCAGGGTTGATCTCCTCCAGGACTGACCGGTTTGATCTCCTTGTGGTCCAAGGGACTCACAGGAGTCTCCTCCAGCTCCACAATTCAAAGGCCTCAATCCTTCGGTGCTCAGCCTTCGGTGCTTAGACCCTACTCTTCTCTATAATCTCAAGTTATGCCTGGGATACTAAGAAAAGGACAGACTCAGTCTGTAGAGGAGGGACAGGACTCAGAATAACAGCAACCCTGTTTCTTTTCTTCACCAATTCAACCAAGGCACAGTAGCTTTGGAGACATAACCAAAACGAAGTGCACACTTGAGTAAGGCACTGCCATTTGTGCACATTCATAAAAGCCTCCAGGTGTTGCCCCACAATAATGTGGCATAGCCGTTCCGATTATCATCACTGCTGCTAGGAAGTTTCCAAAGACATTTAATATCCTGCCAAGGTGCTCAGTGTGAGGCGTGATAATGAAACCATTTATCTTCATGGAAATCAATTAAAAGTTAATTAAAATTGTTAATAAAAATCACACACTTGCTTCCCTTTTGTACTACATCAATGCAATAAACATTAATGGTTTCAGCTTTATTTCTGTCTGATGCTTAACACATCAATGCAGCAAGATCACTGTGGATGACTGTACATGTCTACTTCCCCTGCATCCCCTTCTTTAGTATAAATGGCGAGGATGCGGGGTCTGTTCAGAGGGAGGGTATTGCTTTCTTCTGGATGTAGACACAGCTACAGTGGCAGTAAATTCTTTCTCCATCTATGGGAAAACATTCCCTTAAGTGCATTGCAATGGGATAATATATATCTTCTGCAACATCTAATAGCAGCAGCTAGATGTGAGCAGCAGCTGCTAGATTTCTGTCAGTCTTAAGGTCATTGTGCCACTGTTGAGGGAAAAAAAGTCTTAAGGTCATTGTGCCACTGTTGAGGGGAAAAAAGTCTTAAGGTCATTGTGCCTAATAGGTGCATGGAATTGGTAGAGTTCATAAAGTTTTTAATAGTGTGGTGAACTTCTGTTATTGTCATTTCATAGATAGACAACTAAGACTAAGAGCTAGAAGCTGATTCGAATTATCAATTAGGGGTTACTTTCAGATTTAGGCTTCATAAATCATGTAATGACGCTCACTCTGCCACAGTTTGCATCTGAAAAGGGAAGCCTGTGTTTGAATAACTGGTCATGTGTGGCTGTTCCATGCAGGTGGACCTCATCTTGATGGCTCCACTCCTCAGTGTGGATGCCTCCCATGTAAGGAACTGCTGGAAAGGTATCTAATGACACAATATGCAAAGTCTTCAAATAAGAGCGTTTCCGTAAAATTCAAATTCTGATCTTATCTCATGCCTACTTCATAAATGGGAGGCAGTAGAATCCTCCATACCATACATGTGTATAGAAAAGCTCTACTGTCTGAGCATTTCTCCACACAGTTTTGGTTCACCTATGAATCTACCCAAGATGAGAGGTTATGCTGACACAGACATAACCCAGTCACCAAAGTGCATCCTATGGAGCATCATCCACATAGATGGGTGAATACCGATTGGGTCTCTGAGAGCAACCTCTCTCACACAATAGCGGTTTCAGATTGTCAGGTGACATAAAACAGGAAAGGACAGCAATTACCTCAAAAACCAAGAATAAAATTCAAAATAACCTAGACAATAATAGGAAGTGGATGAACTAACAAAATGAAATTCAACAGGGATGTGCAAAGTAAGGTGTAATTACTGTAAGCCATCCTGAGACGTCAGTGGTGGATGGGTTAGAAAAGCTTTGAATGAATGAATGAATGAATGAATGAATAATAAAGTTCTGTACTTAGGCAAAACACATTAGATGGGCATGTACAGTATAAGGATAATGGGGTTCACAGCAACATTTTTGAACAACATATCTTGGGATTGCAGTTGATTGATGTGAGTGAGATGCGGCTATAAAGAAAGCTAATGGAGTTTTAGGCTTAACAGAACAGCAATATCCAATTCACACACACAGACGCACACGTGCACGCACACACATGCAGACAGAAAACACTTCTGCAATATTGTGCAGTAGTTAGCTCCCATCAGGAATACTCTGTCCAGTTCTAGGCACCTCACTTTACTAATGGGAACCCTGTGATACTGTGGCAGAGCACATGAAAGTGGCCTAAGTCCCTGGCATCTCCAGATAGGGTGGGAAAATCTTTCTGGAACTGTGGAGAGTTACCAACAGTCCATATGGATAACATTGGACAAGAGGGACTAATCATCTGGCTGATGTAAAGCTCTTTCCTATGTTCCTAAGGAAGTTAGAGGGAAAATGGAATGGGATCAGGAGGTTATGGAAAACACATCCTATGGGGAAGGTTGTAGAAATTCAGTGTGTTTAACTGGGAGAAAACTGAGAGGGAACACGAAAGCAATCTTCAAATATCTTAAAAGAAGAGGACAAAAGCATGCTTTCTGCTGCAGTCTAATGGCCATAAGTTACATAAAGATAGTTTTCAGCTGAACATTAGGTGAACTTTGTATTAGTAAGAGAGATCTGGAAATGGAACCAATAAATTAATGGAGCAGTAGGCTGTAATAGAGCCTTTGATCAGGGGCTCAACAGCTATTTGTTGAGGGTGCCCTGCTCTGCAGTTCCTACACTGAGCAGAGGAGTGCCCAGAATTAGAGGAAGTCAGAAAGTCACCCTCCAGATGTTTCTGGCTTCCGTATCCAGGATACGGTCCATTGGCCATGCTGACAGGGAAGCTTAAGTACCAATATTCTGAAGGTCTATTTGTGGGACCCTTTGCACTAGATGATTTACAGGGCCTTTCCTGACTCCACCAACAAGGAGGTCTGGGTAACTTCTGGTCCTGCGAATAGTTCTTGGCTTCCTCTTGAATTCGGTGTGACTGATGAATACATAAACTAGATCCAAGCTGAACTGTTACATAGAGGAGTTTTTCTGGGACTCTCTGCTTCGCTCACCTCACTTTATTAACATTCTTTACCACTCTTTCCATCAGCTATCATTTGCTATCCAAAATGCCCTGTAATAGTGCTTCTTCTAGGAATTGGGATAGCTACAAAGGGGCAGCTGAGACAGAAGCACTGCTGCTGCAGTTGTTGCTTGCATTGACATAAATAATCATTTCCATCCCCATAATCATCACCATAATAAATCATTAATGGGGAAAGCCTGCTCATCAAAAAAGAAATATTAGACATTCCAACATAGCTTGGAGACTATTTGACAAGACTGCACATGTGCACGCACAAGCATATACCATTCTGCTAACTTAAGAATAGTGTGAAGACTTTTAGGAGGCCATTTTTGAAACCTGCAATATGTTCAGGGCATCTCAAGGTATCTGAACACCTGTCTTTATATCAGAAAAGTCCTAATCAGGATTTGGGAAAGAGACAGGAGAGGGAGCACACTGACTCCCTCTCCCTCCTTCATTACACATATCACCTTCTCCTTGGGAAGAACAACATTTTGGGGAGAAGAACCTCCTGTGTTTATGGAGGTTGTATATGAGACTTAAAATGCTAGAAAATCAACATTCTCAATCATGTGTGTAGCTTCCTGTGGGTACAGGAGGTTGTCTTCTGTAGGTTTGCTTCTGCAGAAAGTCACCCTCCACAAGTAGAGACTGATGGAAATCTTCAAGGGTACTTTCCATTTCCAGGTATCTGAATGCATATTTGCTATAATCAGTTCCATGAGCATGTAAATGCATGTGCAGGCACAAAATGCTGGTACATAGCTTCTTCCAGTATCATATAGCTACCAATCTCAGAAGTCATTGTTGCCAGACTTACAGTTTTAATATAATGAAGCAGCAACCATGAGATTAAATTATCAATTAAATATGCATATATTTTAAAACCTAGTTGAGACAAACCTTGTTTAAGAGACTAATTTCAAATTGTCAACAGTATAATTGTAATTCTATTTTGGGGAAGTCAGGCATTTCCTATGGTTGTTCAGATCCTTTCAGAGAGAAGCAATACAGTTTTTACCTAGTTCCCTGTCTGATATGCTGTTTAAGGCTTCTATGGCATAGGCTATTAAATGGCAAGCTGACATTCAGCAGCATGTTCAATTAGGAGGACAAAGGCCCAAATAATGGTTTTTGGGATACGCACCAGCCCTAATTTCACTTCTGAAAGGCTGGGCAGGTCAATAGACTCTTAATGTTCAGCAGGGACTTTAGGTCAGGTCTCCAAGGCTGGCTATGCTGACATATTACTATAAAAGTTGCTCAAAATTGTTTGTCATATGGACTGTACAAGTTAAAATTTTTACTCTTGCTTAGAAAGATAGAAAATTATTTTATTAAATATGGGTTGTATACAAGGATTTTAGCTGAGGTGGCAGCAAGAGCATAAGATGTATTCCTTGGCTCACTTCATAACGGATGTGTACGAGTGAGCCGATGTGTGCACTCAAGCAGTTTTGCTTTAAACAAGAGCTGTGCGACAGCAATTAAACAGCTGCTGACTGGATTATAACCAGGGACCATTAAGACTATAGTAAATTTAAACAATTTATTGCTATCTA